TTATTGTTTTAACACAGCACAGAAAGATTGCAGGAAGATTGCAGAAATGTTACATCGCAAGATTGCAATATTGCAGCAACGTTGCGCAACATTGCTGCAACGTTGAAATGTCTGCCCTCAGAGAGATTGCAGTGCAACATTACAGCAATGTTGCAGTGCAATATTTTTGGAATAATTTGTTGTTGTACACAAGCAGAGAATTTACTAATTACATATACATCCAGGCCTTTTTCAATGCATAATAGTAAGCTATTGCAAAGCAACCTAAGGAGATTATGTCGCTTCGTAATGTATGGAGATTGCGAGCAACATCGCACTGATCAAGTACATATACTTAATAATTCGCCCATTATTGGTATCAACAAAAATAACATAAAATTCTCGTAATTAGAAAAATTTTTTTAATAGAAAATATAGTATTTTCATTATTTTTGAAACATTGCTGCAATATTGCTATCGAAAGTTTGCAATTTTATATCCCTGCAATGTCTCTGCAAGATTGCAACGTTTCTGCAATGTAACTGCAACCATCTGTGCTGTATGGGGGGAGATATTTTATTTTAAAAAGTAATTGCCGAGCTAAAATGCCTCGAAACGCACGAGAGAGGGGGGGAGAGAGAGAGAGAGAGAGAATAGCAACAATAAATATACAATTATCAATAGGTTTGATAAGAAAGAAAAAAGTCGTCACGAGAAGAAAGCAATTTCAGAAAACGTGACATATTGCAGACCGTCGAGAAACGGCGGTGCATTTAAGTAAGGATTTTCTTTCTCGCGGCGACAAAACGTCCGATTCGGATATCAATGTTAATTAATGACAAAGAGTACGCAATTTATAATTTATATATTGTATATTCCATACTCTATTGACATACGAGCGTGTATATACAAAGTCCTTTGTGGAAGAATTTCATTACTCTTCTCATATAAAAAACTGAATTCTCGCTAGCTTGCAGCGCGTTTTACATCGATTTTTCTCGCGATCGTTAACGTACATAAATCTTCTATCCGTCTCGTCGCACGCTGAGACTTAATATTTAATTACTAATACGTCTATATTTCGCCCGAATAAATCAATCTTATGCGGCGTCGCATTTACCTAGTCGCCGTCCTGGCACTCACCATTTGCACGTACAATAACAATTACGCCAGATTGATGAAAAGATTCGCTCGTCCTCTTTTGTATTTACTTCCTTAGCGTAAGAGTCGTGTAGAAGAGAAACGAATTTTTTTTTATCAATCCAATATGGTGCTTAATAACTAAACAATATGATTTACTGTCGGCGCGCCTCTTCTTCAATTTAAGTGAGAAAAATAATGTAATTAAACTTTTTTTCAGAGAAAGAGAAACGTAACCGATAAAGAAGTTCTTGTCTCATTAATCTTTCTACTTTCTTAGAAAAAAAATTTAACCTTTTCTCATATTTTTTCTTAAGACGTAGATCTTCATCGGGAGGTTGATCGAATCCGGTTTACACATTGTCTGTAATCATGTATGCATACGTACGATAAAAACAGATACCAAATTTACATAATTTGTAAATTCTGAGCCAAGAATTTAAAAATCTTACGAAGCAAGAATCCACAGGCAGAAATTTAAGCCAAGTAAAATTTTACTTTAAGTCTTCGATTCTTCCAATCAAATTTTCTTTTGTTTTTTTTATCAGCTATAAGTAGCTTATCTTGTTTTATATTAATGTAACAAAGTACACGCTAGATACTATTGTAATATGATACTCGTGCTTAAAAATACAAAAGTAAAAAATTAAATGTATGGACATATATTAATATCTATTATTCATCGAGATCCAACAAGTAACAGCTTCTCCGATTTAAGTAAAGAAACACTTCGTTTACATAGATTATCTATAGCGTATCTGCCTTTATAAATTATACATGGATTGTCAATAAGCAGGTTTCTAAGTTAGGAATTTCGATGTTTCTGAATTCTCACTTCGCTTTTAAATTCTTGGCGTTTTAAATCTTTGGACATTCGTTCGAATTTTCAGCTCAGTAAATTTTTAAATCCTTGAATTCTCAAGTTCACACATACGAACTAAAGAATATTATCGATTTCGAGATTTCGAACGTAACAGCTAAATGAATATAATTTAAGAACAGGCCATTCAAGAATTTAATTAAAAAACTTGTGCATACATATAGATACTAACACACACGCACACAGACCGACACGCGTACGCTTTAAAACTTTAAATTTTGAAGAGTATGGCTTTAAATTCTTGAATAGTCCCAAGTCTTTAAACTATATTCCATTTAGCAATTGTTTGTAAGTTTTACAACTGCTGCATATTTCGATTCCTAACTCCAAAGTTCTATCATTCAATGTTCCATTACAATGTCTAAGTATATATGTACAATACATTTTATTCTTTTTAAGATGTACCTAGATTTACAAATGCATAAATTAAAGTTACTCTCACACCCATAGGTCTCTTCTAAATGCTTTAACTTTTGGGCCTTTGGATCAAATGAATCTCCAGACTCTTAAATTTTTTTTAATTATGGCCTCATAAATTGTCCTATATTTTTTATAAATATATTGTACACAAAATCTGTTTAAAAAAACTCGTAATTCAAGGACCCAAGTTCACGAAGCTCCAATTCTCTTCTCCAGTATGTCCGTATCTCTTGTGAAAATCATTTTTTAATTAATATATTTACAATATATTTATGTTTTAAACTATGAGTGTTGGCTCTTATACTGAAATATACGAGCGATCATGGGTTTTTAGATCCTTGAATTCTCAGACTACTGGCCGTTCTCATCATTTAGTGCACATGTTTCTCTGAACTTTTCAGTTCCTCTTATCTTCACAAGTGTTTGTGTCTAAAATTGCACGTACATCTTTTATAACTCAAGATTTTGGATACATAGATCCAAAGACCCACGGACTACATAGATCTTGACTCTTACAAGGATTTAAAAATACAAAAATCTAAAAATTCGAGACTGTAAATCTCCAGAATATTCCTTTTCCATCAGATGCGCTTCACATCCAGACAAATGGTATTTGTAATCAATATTTACAATATATCTATTTTGTAAATGGCTAAATTCTTGGATTCTCGGTCCTTGAATTTTTAGGTTGGCTGAATCTTTAAACTTACATAACTTTTGCATTCTTGAAATATCAGTTGGAAGAATAGTTGAATTTTCTCTTGATCTGCAATTGGCTCTTAAACGGACATTTTTATACAAGAGTAAGAAATTTACTTGAATCTATGAATTCAACACAATTTCTCACAGAGTTATGGTAGTCACGCGTGTATGAATTTCCATAATTCTTACTTATACATCTTTCTTCTTTTGTAATTCCAATCTTGCATTTCTTCAACTTTTCAGTTTTAATTTCACAAGATTCCCACAAAATTCCGCAGAGTTTCTTTCAATTCTTGGATCTTTAGGAGTTTAAATTTGCAATATCTAATAATTTTCTCGTTTGTTAAATTTTCAAGTTAACGAGAAGGATGCGCCTTTCCCGCTGCCGTTGTTGAAGCCACAGTTCTAAGAAGCTTCCTTACTGGTACGAGACGCCGAGTTTTGTAAGACGTTAGAATAATGATTCAAGGACCAGAGTCTCCGGTGGCGCAAAAGATTGCGCCTTCCTTTCTACAGCCTCATAACTGTCTAAAGGGGCATTGGACATTATTTACACAGTAGACATTTTTAATTACACGATATGTTACAATCTCTTTTTCGGCAGCGAGCCGATGGTCGTCGATAAAACGGTGGATTTGGCGCTGGACGACGTGATAGTAGTGAGGGTAGGCTGTGAGAGAAGCACCGTGGGTTTGACGGTCGCGGCAGCGGCAGCGGCGGCCGCGACAGCGGCGGCGGCGGCGGCACCGCCGGTCGCCACTTGGTCCCACTTACTTTTTCGCTTCTTCGCATTTTCGGCGCCGCTGGACGAGCTGTTGGGCCGCTTCGCCGTGCCGGACACGATCTCGATCTCGATCTTCTTCTCTTTCCGCGCCTTCTCAAGCTTGTCCATCTCCGCCTTCTGCACCAGGGCGAGCTCCTCGTAATACGAGTCCTTGCTCCACTTGAACGGGTCAAACCTGTCCGGCGGGTAGTTGGTGCCCAGCTCGTTAATGCTACAAAACTGAATGAGTTTTTCATAAATGGAGGGATTGCGGAACTCCTTGCGCTGCTGAATGAGCATGTTCATGTCCAGCCCGCCGCTCTCCATTTTCCTATAGAGCCTCGCGATCTTGTCCTGCAGCTCGCCGGGACATTGGCCCGGCGGTTCCGGTGGTATCGCCACACCGTAAAGGTCCCCCGCCTCACCGCCATTATCTGAAAGCAATTCTCCGGGACGCGAGGAGGGCGACCGACGCTCAGCGCCACCGCCGACGGCGACGACGGCGCCGGCGACAGCGGCGGCGACGGTGGTGGCGCCGACATTGCCGGTGGAGGCCGCGACCGGGAGACCGTTCTCCTCGGGGCGCTCCGCGACCGTCGCGACGGTCGCCGCGCCCGCCGCCGTCAACAACGACGACGACGACGACGACGGCACCGGCGGCAGCGACAGCGGCGGCGCAGCAACGGCCACCCCCTCATCGTCGGAGACTACCGCATCGTCAATATAAGAGACCAATCGCTGCACCTTCGTGGCCGCTTCCGGCAAGTCGCTACTACCAGCGGACTTGCCGATGGCGGGACTATGCGAGGCTGAACGGCCTCCAGATATGGGACTGGTGCCAGATCGGGCCTGGGGCTGACGACCGACTTGGGCATTATGCGGGGCGGCCCCCTGGGGAGTGTTCGAATTCTCCTCCTGCAGGCGCTCGTCTTCCACCCCGTCCTCGCCCTCCGAGTCGGTATAGGTGGCCGTGAGAGATGCCAGAGCAACACTTTGTACAGACATGGTTAGTTGGCTTTGAGTGCCCGCCGTGCTACCAAGCGATATTTTGTGTGGGAACTCACCGGTCTGGCGTAGCGCGGCCTGGCCCAGCGCCCAGCTCGTCAGCCACGCGAGGGCTTTAGGCGCGGGGACAGGGAGGCTTTTAACGGGCCTGATGGGCTATGAGCGTTGAGCTTTGGTCGCTTTTACTACGAACCTGAAATTCAACGAGACACCTTCATTAACTTGTATTCGCGGGCTTAGTTTCCGCGTTAACGTAACACCCTCGTTTGGTTTACGCTCTCGCCGCGTTTCTTCCAAAATACACGCAACACGCGCTAAGCGATACCTCGTGGATCTCTGTGAGAAATTTCGCCTCGACTTCCGTTATCGTTGCGTCGTTTTCGGCGCACGAACTTGCCCCTCGTATCCCTCGCCCTCGAAATTTCCAGCGCGAACCGAATCAGAGTCGACGATTTTGTCACGCGCGATCGCGACACGATCGACGTTAGTAAAGTCGACGAGCAACTGGTGATATTAACAGAGAGGTAAGAGCGGCGTTTAAAGCGCGCGGACACGTCGGGATCATGTGTTCTTACTCGTTCATTTGAGGTCAAACTAACAACGAGCGAGAGGCAGGTTAGGATTCAACCGAGTAACGTTAACTCGACGGTCGGCGACCGGGCGGCTCCACTAACCTCAAACTTTCAACGTCCACGGTCACCCGGTTCAGTCTGAACCCGCTCGTCCGCACATTGCGATCAATTTTAACACAGCCGTGCAGATAAATATCCGACGAGGCGAGATTAGTCCGCCATCGGTGCGCATTCCTTCCCGATGTACTTTGCGATCGTGCTGTCTCGGCAACGTTCGGCCGGCGTCGGACGCGCTCGGCGAGACCGTCCGATCAGTGATGTCGGATTGGTCGCATTTATTAGCGCATGCGCGTCGGCTTCAAGCCTAGTGCAGAACTGCAGACTGCACGCAGCAACCACAACCTCCGTGAACTTAAGCCCGCTGCAGACGATGCTATTTTTTCTGCTGGATTGCTTGCAATCTAAAGCCCGCTGCAGACGATGCTATTTTTCCTGCTGGATTGCTTGCAATCTAATAAATTACTATCGTTGCACCATTCAGCACTCAGGATTCCTAGTAATTTACTAAATTGCAAGCAATCCAGCAGGAAAAATAGCATCGTCTGCAGC